AGCTCTGCGCAAGGAAGCCAGCAACCACACATATCTTTCCTAGTAAGAAGTCCTTATGCAGGACTTCCTGATGAACTTAGTGTATGAAGATCCAGTGGCAGCCTCGGTGCCTTCCAGGATCCTTCATAGCTAGGTGTGTGTAACTTCCTGGAGGGCCCACAAGACCAACCCCGCGCCCCAGGCTCCCTACAGGACACACAGGCTAGAACAGATTCCAGGCTCCTCCCAAGACCCTGCACTCTGACCCTTCTCCTAGGCCGGACTTGTGGTGAATGTACCAACCACAGTCCAGGTAGAAGGGGAAGCCACTGTCATGACCTATAACTCACTTCAGAGCCAGAATAGCCACGAAAGTCTGACATGCTGCTTCACCCCTAGAAAAAACAGGGACACTTAGGTCTTCACAGTGTTTCCTATTTCCCTTCTTCCTCAACTGCTTAGAATATAAACTTTTAGTTTATAATTTTGAGACAATCAGAAGGATTAAAAGTATAGAACTATAAAATACATTTCAAATGGACTACAAAAAAGGCCCTAGTTGGACACAGGAGCAGGGGACAGTGGGATTTTAAAGGCCTGATTTTAGATTTCCTGTCACCAGAGCTTCAGTTCCGAAGTATGCAACAGAGCAGCCACAGCAGTCCCATAGCTCGGTGCTGAGTCTCCACTCCAAACATGATTAAGAGAGTTGGAAGTTACAGTAGGCCGGCAGTCTGCAGGCTACCAGCCGTCTCTGCTTCCACAGATGTTTTTGAAGCCACTGACGGGGGAACTGGAGAGAGGTGGAGCAGTGAGGACTGGGTGCTTAGCTGTGGCCCAGGTGTTCCTGCCAACCAGCCTGCGTAGGTAATTCGGACCATGCCACCTTCTCACCATGTCTATGGCAGGTGTGTAAGAGTCATACTCTCAGTATTTCCAATAGATGCTTTCAAAATCCCAAACACCACTCAGGGCCAAGAAAAATCAGAAATAAAGCAATAATTTCATGCTGTAATAAACCTACTGCTTACACCTCTACGATTAAATTAATTACACATTGACTGCACACTTGTGCACATGTACACTGTCTAAAGTCTAGGTGAGAAGCCCATTTCCAGATGCTCCAGGAAAGAGTTGGTTTTGGGGGAAGAGGGTAGATGAGAAGAGGCTTCGGAAGACTTTAACTGAATCAAAAGAAATACCCATTAAACCTTAAGGCATAGACTAGCCTACCAAAGGTAAAGGCCAGTAAGTACAGAGTAACTACCAATTACAGTTTAAAAAAAACTGGATGGTGAAAAAAAAAAAAAAGCTGGATGGTAAATGTTATTTGTTGCTTTCCTGGAAAATGAAACATAGTGTTGTGTGATCCACTCAGAAAACATTTCACATAAAACATTCAAGTAGAAGAACCCATTACCCAACCTTTAAATGATCTAACATATGATTATATTGGGCTGTCAGGAAAGTCATGACGTATTTTTCTGTGCAAAAAAAAAAAATGTGTCATGACTTTCCTGACAGCTCAATAAAGGCTTCGCATCCTGTTTGTTAATAAAGGAAAGCGGTGTCCGTGGCACGCCATCCATTTTGATGTGATATGCAGCTTTCCAAATCAATTCCACTCTAATGAATACCCCTGCAAGGAGAATCTGTTTAGTGAAGCAATTTCCAAATCTAGCCAACTTATTTTTATAATCTTTGACCAAAAATGTTCACTGTACCACAGAGTTAAGGGGAAACTACAGCTCTTCGTAGCAAGCTTAAGACAGTGATGGCTGGTAACCCCAGGAAATACCTCCCACCGTCCCCTGTCCCCACAGAGCCTGGGTTCCATAGGGGGGCTAGAAATAGAGGCCTGGAATCACCCTTCCTTCCCTTTGCTGCCAGTCTTTATTCATTCCCATACATCAAAACACCTTTCCTACTTGGTAATTTATTTGGGCCTACATTAATCTTTTCTTTTCCTTTTTTTTTTTTTTTTAAGGGTTTTGCTATAGGGCATGTGCATTCACCAGAGAGAGACCGAGAGAGAGAAAGAGAAAGAGAGAGAGAGAGGGAAAGTGAGAAATCACCCCCCTGGGGTGATGGCCACCTCACAATCCCTTGTCTTCTAGTCTCCTCCTGGGATTCTGGGCATGCACACATCCATGCCTTGCATGATTTTGAGGCTACCAGGTCCAGGACTTGAATAGCCACCTGTCATGAGGGTCTGCCAGTTCCTTAACCATCACACCACCTGCTGGTCCTTGTGCCTCCATTAATCTCAATATGCATTCACTTTTAAGAGATCTCAGAACATGGTTCTTCATGTTTATTTTGACCCTTCGAACACTGGGTGTTGCCTGCTGCCCTGTTTGTAGCAGCCTGCCTTCTCATCATCAGCCAAACAGGGCTGCATATCCCCTATACAACCTGGATCTTGATCCTGTCGATGACACTTGCCATTCTCTCTTCCCTAAGGTTCAGGAAGGTGGGTAATGAAGAATCCACTAGCCTCAAGCTAGAGGACAGATATGATAAGGTAAGGTGCTTGCTTATATCCTTTCAATGTCTGATTTAGTTTTAAAAATATGCAATAGAAGACATAAGCAAACCCATTAGCCTAGGAAGGCTCTGCTCAAACCCAAAGGTAAAGCCCTCCCATTCCACAGGAGGTCTAGCTCAAGGGCATACATAAAAGCTAATGAATGAACACAGCAGAAATCAGAAAGCTCTGCCCTATAATCACGGCAGTCTTTGGAAAAGCTGAGCTCACACCCACTGTCACTTCACATGGCAGGGGACCACATAAAAGAAAGGTAGGCAGTAAACAAAACCCCAAACTGGTCTTCTAGCACTGTTAAAAGTAACATATTAACATGTTTCCTAATTTTAAAATAGCTTGATTAAACTGAAAACAGGTCTGCTATTTTGTTGAAGTCAGAAAAGCTACCAAGCTCTGGGATAATACAAATGATCCATTGTAACTAGGTAACGTGTTCCAAAATGCCACGGGTATGACACATTACATTAAGGGCAGGGAGACAGCGGTGGGAGGACACAAAGGCTTTTGGAAGAACCATCACTCAGTAAGCTCTCCAGCACTTCTCTCTGGCAGACATACCAAACCCCTCTTCTGGAACAAGGCCACTTTACCTCTTTTGAAAGTGAATTAGAGTTGCGCCTTAGAACTTTTCCATTAGGGCCATTTATGTATCAGCTGCTTCGGATTTCCATTGTAAAGAACACCCAACAACAACAGAGTGACCTACTACATCCTGAAGGTGCTGTATAAATTATAGAAAAATGCTTTGATGTGGGAAAAGAGAATCTGGGTCCATGCATTAGCAGGAGAGAAATTTCAAGTGCTAATACTGGTAACAAAGAATGATCGTAATAAGTTCCTCTTCTGAATTCAGCCCAAGAGCATGAGGTTGAGAAACTCAGATCTTCAAAAGCTGCCACAGTGACTTAGATGCCAAGTTCCTTTCCCT